AATATGTGTAATTGGCCTGGCGATTCTTTTAAAATTTATCATACATACCTAAAATATGGTGAAACTCACCTACAGGACTATAATGGACGGTATAAGCTGTAATACTGGTATATGGTAGAGACTTTGGTGGTTCCCACGAAATTAAAATTCTAACTGGTGAAACAGCGTGACATTTTAAAGAAGTGGGCGCATCGGGGCTATTGCGCGATGTGTTTACTTGGAGCCGACCAGCGGCCCAAATTTCACCCGCTGAATTTACCGCTACACATTGGTATATGCCAGAGTCAGACGGTACTGTTGCTGATATTGCTAATTCTATTTTATTGTATTCCTTAATGTAAGTTGTTTTGCGACCTGTCAACATACAAGATGCATAATCGTAAGCACACAATTTGACAATAGTGCTTTCTTTCTCTCTCTCTCTCTCTGTAATCATTACCAATGATAGTAATATTTGACGAGTCTTTTAGCCAATAAATTTGAGGTACGGGGAATCCTTGCGCCTGACATTCGAATCTTGCGGTTCTTCCGTTTGGACAGATTTGGTTTGTCGGCGTTTTTATAAATGACGGCGGTATCAGTATGTCTACAGTAATATTCTGTAATATTTTGAACGAAAAATATAATCGTCTGCTAATTTTTATAATCATTAAATATCTTATGTTTCGTCAATATCAATTACCCACCTGTACCTCTAAGTCATTGGTGATAGAATTCTTCGAAGAACACATGTAAACACCAGCATTAGAAATGTTTACGTTTGTTAATGACAGTATACCAATGCCAGTGGTAGAATTAAAAAGAATGCGAGGTTGCGTAACATTATCTGTAAACAGATATGATCAAATGTATTAAAATTGATTCGTTAATTAAATGTACATTTGCTTTCTGAATCTGTACCTTTGTAACGAGGAATAAATGACCATGTTATGACTGGCGATGGATAACCAGATGCAGCACACGCCAAATTAAGATTTGACCCGTTAAGCAACCAATGATTATATGAAGTTTGTGGAAACAAAGACGATGGCGTATGTGATTTGTTAACCTCTGCTCTCGAAATAACTGTTAATTTTGCTTCTCTGCTCTTTTTGGTCTTCTTTAGAAATTCATTAGTGACTATGCATCTGAAATGTAACAATATTTCCATTTAATTAGTTTAAAAATTAACAATACAAATTATATATATTATGTATATACAGGGCTGGGCAAACACATTTGAAATACAAAATACAAAATACTAACAATTTTAGTATTTATTGCAAAATATCTTCAATTTTTTTATTTAAAATATAAAATTTTTGTATTTTAAATCGAAAATTAAAAATTAAAAGTATTTTGTATTTTATAATTTAAATACCAAGATTGTGTTAGCATTGTACATTTTGTATTTCAAATATTTTATTGTATTTGAAATACAATTTGAAATACATTTTGCCCAGCCTTGTGTATATATAATATAATTGTACAATATACCTATATGAGCCAGCATCTGACAGTTTCGTTGCACTTATATACAGAACACCTGGTGGTACCACAGAATACTTTGATTCATTATAAGATAACAATGTTTCATTATGCTGCCATGTAATATTAGGTGGGAAAGGAACACTATCTATCAAACAAGACAATCTTGCAACTTCACCTTCTTGAACAGTAATATTTTCTGGAGTTTCTCTAAATACATGGGCAAGTTCTGTAACATAGAATAGTTATTGTAACCATAATATTCTAAATTTTAATTATGAAAAAATCATGGTCATACGCATAAAGTTATATTTACCTGCTATTTGAATATATGTAGGAGCTGATCGTATCAATCCTCCAAAACTAGTACGTGTTACACAGCGATATTCATCTTTATAGTTTTTAGGATAAATAATACTATTCCTTTCCTTTTCTTTGAACTTTTGAATTTGTAAATTTTGTTTCTACACATAATAATATTCATATAAAGTATGATTTTACAGTGATAAACCAATAGACATCACACTACTGCTTACCTTGTAAAAGTGAAGAGAGCCATTGTGAAGAAGAACACACCGAGTAAGATTACACGGAGGTGCTGGCATTCCATTGCGCAACCAAGATACATTCTCGTTTGAACCAGCTATGCAACTGAGCGTGATCCCTTTTTTTCCTAGTATCACATGGCCGCTAGGTTGAATTTCCAATGTTAACCCAGATGCTTTAATTAGACCAGTGTCAGAACCATCTCCTTTAGATATGTTCCTACCACTGATATTTCCTCCGATACCTTTGATACCTTTGATAACAAAGAGACAATTTGCAATATATATTTATGAAACATAGATACTGCTACATTTTAGTAAGTATTTAATAACATTAATAAATGAATATGTAACGTTATGTTGCAGTTTCTTCTCTAAGACTTTGATATAAAGATTCTCTTCTTAACTCTGAAGTGGCGATGTGATTGAAAGTTACGACATTGATGACATTGATCTCATTGTCAAATCCCGTTTCATCAATGACGAAACATTTCGTTCGAAATATAATTCTAGATTGAAAAATCTTTTAAATATTTATTTAATAAGAGAAATGATAAAATATTGGATCATATATAAAAGATATATCACAGAAACATAAAAACAATCTCAACTCTTCTATGATGTACCAGTAAATTATACCATCAAAGAGTTAATATATAACAATTTTGCACTACCGTCAGGGTGTACAGTGTACTTTAGGTATACAAAGCGAGTTCTCGAGATCATCGACGCCTGGACTCATGTGCGCATACAACCAGAGCATCGTTGTACAAAGATCGAGCAGAGAAGCGAAACCTCGCGACCATTGTGATAAGAGTATAGGGTTAGATCGCACCACGCAGAGTGTAAACACAGACAAATCGTAACACACACCTGCGGCACAAGCGGGCTTCAGCACTTCCGTAATCAAGACGCTCAGTAAGAGTACTCGCGCCGCCATATATCCGCGCTCATCAGCAACCGCGCACCGGTGCGCGTGTGTATGTATATATGTATATGTTGTCTCACTGGCAGAGGAGCACGGCCGTGGCGCGCCGTCGTCGATTTATTGTCTTCTTCGACTTTCTCGTCGTTGTCGAGTTGCTCGCGAGAAAAATTCGTCGCCGCATGTTTGACATCAGCCAGTCTCGTCTTAACCGAAGAAGAGGGAAAAACAGAGTACCTCCGTTGTCGCTACGACGGCTGTTCCGTTCGCCGAGCTGGAGCACCCTTTCCCCCCACCCCCCAACCCTCTCTCCCCCGCTCGTGGACTCTTCGCGCTGTTTTACGTCGCGCGTGTGTATACGTTCACATTGTCAACCGGCGCGGCGCGTACACCGATCCGTAAGCCGACGAAAAAGACGACCGGCGACATGCACACGAACGAAATCGCGAATCCGCGCGTACACACGCGCGTTCGTACACTGTGCCGGGAAACTTGCTGCACACCGCCTGCGAACGTAATTTATTGCTGCGCGTCCTATCGTTTAGCACGCGACTCTCTCGTTCCTGCTTGCCATCTTCTCTCGAGCGTCATGATCCTTTACTGCCCCCTAGCAACGTGAAAGAAAGAGAGAGAGATTTGAACCATGATCATGTATTGTCCGAAGAAAAAATAGAAACCTGTCGAGATGTATTACCGAGGAATGGTATTGCGCTCTATCGACGGAGCGATGTATTATCATGTAATTGTCATATTTACTCGCAATGCATCTTTGAATGTTTTTGTCAACAAACATAGCTGTCAACGTTTTGTTGATTGACCGATTCTAACAACACAATTGTTAGTGTCACCGACGAGAGAATACTAAAAAATAATTTTACGTACTCGTTAATAATTTCTAAATCTTATAAGAATTTTCAGACATATTAAATGAGAAAAAAAGGAAACAATTTAAAAAATGCGGTGAGTTTGAAACTTTTTTATACAAAAGAATTTTTTTATATAGAATATCGCAAATGTCCGAGCCTTTTTTCTTGTTCTTGTATGATTATGTTTTAGATCAAGAACAAAATGCAATCTAAATGACGAGATCATTTTTTGTACGACAAACTATGTTGCATCCGGTTTTTCTATCATTTTCTCTGTACCAATTATATATATAATATATATATATATATATATTATATATATATGAGTGTGTGTAATGTCTCAATGATAGCAATCGCGTGCGAGAGAAATCGCACAACCGCGATGTATGTGTATGTTTTGTGATCATTTTATTTCTAGAAACAAGCACGCCATAAAGCACTGTATGCCATACATATCAATGAGAACGACAACGACGGATCGATTGCTATTAAAACCGGTTTACTGGATAATTTTCCGACAACGCCACCGGCTGTGACCCTGCGCGGCTTTCTCTCACAGGGAAAGTTTTCCTGTATAAGGGGTTGCATTCATCAATCATGATAACAAGAGATTCCAACGCATAGCAAATCGTCAAAAAGTTATATACAAAAATCAATAAATCCAGAGGAATTAAAATTTGTAAGTAACTGAAGAATTAAGTAGATAAAATCTAATTTTTCTTTTAATTTATCCATCCTTTTTTTTCATGAGTTTTTTGTTTCTTGCAAAGTGAAATGAAACTGAAAATAAGATTCCAATGACCCTTTTCTCAGAAACGAGATTTACGTGTCGCATTGTTGTAGCGTTTGATGCAAATGATGATAATCATGTCTCATATGCATCAGAAAGTGTAAATAATCATTGTTCGCCGTCATTGAACAGACAACTGCTATTTCGCGATCATCTATAACGACATCCTGTTCAATCTGTGCCTTTCACATGAAGCAAGGGTGCTTGCACGAAATAGAAACCACTGACTTCCGTCATCGTCTTTGCTATCGTTGTCGTCGTGCGTATAAGGAAGATTGGCCGCGAAAGCGTTCGTCTTCCTTGTGTTCATGCGGTTCAGAGATTATCGTGCTAGTAGGACAGCTTTGACGTATTGGCGCAACTGATTAGCGCGTACCTTGTCAAACTTGTTGCTCTGGTACTGTTATCATAAAATTAATCGTGCACCACTAAGGTATATCAGTTGATCGAACTATCCGTATTATTACACGAATGTTTTCACGGCATGACGCTTTTATAGGCTGTGAAACTGTACTAATGACTCGACTATTATTCCTAATCCGTGAAGAAAATAAGATATATAATATGTGAAATTCGTACGCGTTTTCTTTTCAAAACGAAAGTTTCCGCATCTTGAGATCCGTAAAAAGATGCGAGGTTCGAAAAAAATTGATAAAGAGAACTTAAAAATATTGCATATTTGGATACATGGACTTGAATGTAGTACCGTTCCCTGTATTAATCGTGTGAACACAATAATTAATGTGAATCACGGCGCTGACGGTAATCATCTGATAATGTTAGTTTCACCTTTCTTCATCTTCTGTTTTATGCACAAATGTGAAAGGTGCCCGCGGGATATAAAAAAAATTGTAATCCTCGCGATTGGATAGAATCATACGTGGAACATCCTGTGCATCGATTTCCAGTTAGTCGAGTTATCCGGCGCGCGCAAATCTTTTTTCTCATCTATTTCCACAATCTTAAGCATGGAGAAAAGTAAAATTATATTTCGTCAATTATGGGAAACATATATAAATTTGAATAATGTTGCTTTTACAGGTTTCAAGTATGTTATTAAAACATTACTTGTGATGTGCATGTTAGATATATCTATAAAATATTATATTAAATAGAAGAAATGTTTGAATATAAAACGTTTTCAGAGTACAATTTGCTGGAAAGATTAAATAGATATGAAAGGTTCTTAACATTGATTGAATTGGAAAGCAGAAGTAAAATGGTTCGTTTATTTCTGTCTCCATTATGTGCAAATTTTTTTTATGTTTATTTCTTAAATTCTTTAAATTTTTATTTCCCGGAAGGATTAATAAAAGGAGGAAAGAAATCTCTGATTGAATGTGACAAGAATATTTCATATCCGTAGTAAACTCGACAAAAATTTTCCAGGTATAAATAGATAAAAGGCTATTGAAAGTGAAAGAACCACTTGAAATAGATCTGGGAAGGATAAACTTAAAAGATCTCAGTATATAAACAAGTAGTGAGGAAAATCTGCACATAATAGAGACAGGAATAAAAGCATCATATAATTTTACGTCTATTTTCTAACAAACAACTGAGAAAATCTTTTGTTTATTTAATTGAACAGATGCTTCACATAAATGCACATAACAACTTGTCACACGCAACGTTCCGGAGATTAGGGATGTGAATTGTAATAAAGAAGCTTGTAAGAGTGATTCGTTTGTTCAAGATATAAAGTCGCTTTAGCGACAGCCTGATGAGCCACGGCCGAGGGAAAAAATGAAAAGCACGAGCGCGAGGAGAAAGAGGGTACGAGTGTGTGGTTATAAAGCGATCCAGTTTCATCGAAATTCTCAGTTTGTCGTACACGTATCGCACAGCATACAAACCCTATTAAATCTGCGACGAATAAGTCAAATGCAAATATGAAGACGGGACCGGTTTTGCAAGTAAATGATTACTGTGTTGAATGAATATATTGATAGCGCGTGTAAAAACGACATCAGTTGTAAGATTCGCGAACACGGATCTCATAAATTTTACAATTATTATTATTATATTATGGGACAAGTGCATATATATCTTGCAGATATCGTATATAAATAAATTATAATAAGTAAATTTATTTTTCGTAATGTGAATGAAATTAATTATATGTATTACGCGTGACTCGAAATTGCCAATAGCTCGAGACGTTATTATACATGTGTGTTCGAGTACAAAATGTAGAAGGAAAAAAGCTGAAAGGCAATATAAATTAATTATGCTGATTTGCAGTTGGTGTTAATCGTGATGCTGTTGATTGGATCTTCGGAAGAATTCTTTTTCCAATAGTGAGTGTGATTTTTTGGTGACAAAGCTGTTTAGTGTTTGAAAAGAATTATTAAGTATCTTTGATATAATTTTACATTAGTCGCATTCTTTTTTGATTCGCGAATTTTTGAGTCAATTTTTAATCAATTATGATTTTCTTTATTGAAAATTTAATGGAATATCATTCTATTTCCCCCCCCCCCTCCCTTATGTTAGATATATTGAGGGCAATCAAATATATTTTTAAATCCCTTACAATCGCAGACTTGACATTGAAAATATGAAATTAATTTTGAGAATACGGGATTTAGATTCACTTTGAATCTTTAATTTATTTGTAACATGTGTTTTTTTCACGTTTCAGTCCTAAGAAGGCTTTGACGGAGTTCTTCCAATCTTTGAAGGCAAAGCAGCTGCCTAAAACGAACGTACAGCATTATCATGTACATTATTATCCCATACCTTTCCCTATGTTAGCCTGGAGAGCGCCGGAAAAACGAGATCTTGAGAAACTTTATAAGTACGTTCACATTCAATAAAAAGTTAAACTCGTTTCACGCTAATCGTGTAGATTTCGCGTAGATGGAAACTAATAACAGATTCAAATAGAAACTAATATATTTCTGAGCGTATACGCATAGAAACAATAAGTGTAGTGCTTTAGAGAAAGTAATATTCTAAGTTTTTGTTTTTATTATCACACACCGCCTTTACAAGAAAAATGTGAAATTCACTGATAGTCTAGCTCTATTTTTTGTAGCAAACATATTAATACGAGCGTGCGATGGTCTGAAGAATTATCTGAGCTATTATTTTCCAGCGATCATCTAAGATCTCTCGGATGGTCAGATCACCACTACAAGTATATGCCCGAGCCTTCGATAATCGTATCGTCAGGCCCGCATCCTTTGTTGGATAATATCGAACCTTGGGATGGTATCATCGAACCTTGGGATAGTACTTGGGACGAAAATATTTTAGGTGGGTTCAGGTAACATCCCATGTGAAAAAAATCAACCGACGTATTCGTCGATTAAAAAAGTAACTAGAGAAAGGAAATTTTACGTAAATCATGATTATCGAAAGCGTGATTAAAAATGGTGATTTTTTTGCAGGATCCGACGACGTACAATCTTCGATCGATCGTAACATGAAGGGTATACTTGTTCAAGTTCCTGTCAATCAACAGTTAGTGTTTCATTTATTGAAGAAAAGACAAAAACAAGTGACAACGTAACATCGCTTGATCTTTGCATTGCAAAGTAACGGTTGATTGAAATCGGTATCAAAACACTAAACTTTCGTTAATTTAATTTTAGATTAATTAATTAAAACTTAGCCTTTAAACGTTTATCTAATCTGTATTTATGAGGAGTTATTTATTACAAGCATAATTAATATAGACATCTCAGAATGTTATTAATTTTAATATTAATATTTTGAATTTTTATACATATTTTTATTAAACAAAAGAAACAGAGCTAAAAAATGTAAATTATTTAGAATTCCTTATGGAATTATTCCACAACAAAAGTTGTGGAAATTGTTTACACTTTCTAGCAGCTTTTGCATCAAGTTTTGGCGCGCATTGACGACGTCGAGTCATCCTTTTTAGCAATAATTTAGGTGATAATTCGCGTAATTCCGGCACGTTCGAAGCAGGTTTCAATCTTCGTCGTTGAATGCGATCTTTCTGCCGCGCCTCATAATCTTCCTGCTGTTTCAACGCGAGTTGTATCATGTACTTACGATCCGTTAAACGCACTACGTGACTTCCCATTAAAGCTGTTAATCGCGATCTCACGGCTATGTAACTGAGCCTGTATTGTTAATTGTCTTATCTCAATCGTGGTTACTTGAAAATTGATACCAAGATGTTAACCCACCCGAATTTTACACAATTCGTCTCCCACCATGCTGGAGGCGTCTCATACAGATTTGTATCCAGTGAGAACATACTTGCTTACATAATGTAATTTATTTTAATTGAAATTTTTAACGTAAAATTTTACGGCTTAATCCAGCATTAACATCCAGCATTAAAAATATTTATGAGACATTTTCTCTCAAATTGAGCGTATTTTGTTTTATTTTCTTTTCTCTTTTGCTAAAGTTTCTATTTTTACAGCTTGGTGGAGAGATCTTTTTGTTTAATCGAGCGTAAATAATATTCAATGGCTTATCTACAGGCAGATAGGCAAATAGACTGCAGATATTGACCTTTTACGAGAGTATTTGAAGAACTTACCGAGATTTAACTCGCAGAAATGCTTGTTTGGCATTTGCATCTCGATGCTATAAACTTATAAATATTTAAGTTTTGTGTTATATACATAAATATATTTTATACAAACTCGTTAACGTTATCTGGGATTAAAATTAATTTTATGGAATTTTAACCAAATAAATTCTTATCTTATAGACAACGCTAATAAATTCATAAACATTTTGAGAATATGATATGACAAAAGATACCATCTAATCTATTTGTCGAATATTTCATGTCGTGTAAAATATCGTATAATTGTCGAGATAAAATTCGCGTTGAGAATATCGTTAGAAGCATTATACGAACGGAATTAATTGTTTCGCGAATGAATGCAAGTGACTGCCCTAAAACTACTGAGAAGAGGAGGAGGAGGAGAAGGAGGCTCAAGACTGTATCTCTTGATCCTTTTGTTTATCTATGTCTTTAAAACACAGTGTTTAATATAAGTGGAACATAACCGTTCTATTTTGAAAATCAAATATTTATTAGTCAAAATTAAATTCAAATTTCATGATAACAATTCTTGTTTGTGTTTTGCGTATAAAATATATTACAATGTGTTTATAAGGGAACTTTCTATATATTTAAGATAGGTCTCAAGCCTAACTCGATGTGTTCGCGTTATTATTTTATATGATACTTTATACAATTTATTATAGACATAGACTTTACACAAATCATTATACTCCTATTTAGCTTGAGAAATGTCCAGTAATGTTGTACTGTGTGTAAATCATACATTATACAATTTGTATGTTATATAATGAATATTGAACGAGCCATTATTAAAACATGTTTATAATTGTTGAAGTAGTCTTCTGGAGATCAGGCGAATTTATTTACAAAAGATGGAACGTGCGATAAAATGAAAAACTTTCGACATATTTTCTGATAGAATCGCTAAATTTTGGCTTATTAATATCCTTTATGATAATGCATTGGCACGTCGGATATTTTAATACGCGCGATAAAATCTTTTTTTTCATTATTTTTCCATTATGTACATAATAAAAAATAAATTCAGTTAGCCAACGTTAAAAATCTCGAAATATATTCTTTGGATGTACATTTTAAAATACAAATGATCCAATAGAATAGTCTTTCTCTGATTAACTGATTAAACTTTGATCAAAGTAACGGGCACACTTTGTAAATGCAATAAAAATATGACGAAAAATCTTACAAATACTATATCGCTGTATATCTGCAATTGTGATTTTAATTCTGAACGCACAAAGTCTGCACAGTGTCAACTTATATTGCGGTTTCACATATAAAAAGATTAGAAATGTTTAGAAAAGCGTATCTGTCTATTGTGTCACTTAGTAATAATTATACTTACAATCTTTTCAAAACCAAATATGATTATGATAATTGATACAAAAGACTTGCGTTCATTAAGTCATAGACATTCTTAAGAAAGTACAAGCGTTAAAATTTACAAGTAGCAAAATATATACATCATACTGTATCATCTATACCGATATCTAAAGAATTCAATTCAAAGAAGTCAAAAGTCTGAAGAGCTTTAATAACGTACTCTATCAAAAAATGATGAATTCGGCTTCACCGAACACTTTGCACTGGTTTATTTGGCTTTATTTTCCTGCAACGGAACATTCGAATATTTCGGAAAATCTACAGCATCAATGGGATTCTTTACTTTAAAACTAGGATATAATCCTGTCATGCTAGTTCTGGTGTTATATCCTTTGGAGAAACCATCCCAATGATTCCCATAAACGTCGATCAAATCTCCGATCTTTAATTCCAGTTCCCCACTTTTTCTTGGTTTATGATCCAAAATAGCCACATGTGGATGTGGATTTTGTCCTCCGTAGTAATATATATCATCAAGAGATGTAAATCTGTCGTATGCGTCTACGTAGAAAGTCTGCATCAATTCGTATGCAACACGACATACCTGAGAGCTGAATGTGCACACCAAGTAATCGCATTCTGACAGAAGGTGAATATCGATGATTATTCCTTGCAAAGAAGAATCCGAGTATCGTTTCGCTACAGCTGCTGTCTCCGCGATCTCCGGATCGCCTATTATTTCATAATTAGGATAGCGTTTTCTGGCTGTTGTTATCACTTTCGGATCATCGCTAGCTAAAAAGACTCTCTTTACGTCTGGTTTAGTTTCAAGCTGGTCGTAATACTGTTCTACCTTAGACATATATTCGTCTATGTCATGATAAGCTGCCTCAGTGCCTACTTTATCAGTCCTACGCACATGAATACCAACAATAGGTTTTTCAAAACCGAGCCTCTCCTTTGCTTCCTCTAGTGTTCTTGTCACATGCTCTTGAGGTCGCATTAAATATTTTAACACCTGCCCTACCCACCAAACTAAAGGATGACCATGAATCTTCTCTAATCTCGGTGCTAAGTCTGCAGGTACACTAGGTGGCTGGAATCTTGGTTTAGGATAAACATTGTCTACAATCGGTAGAGATATTACTTGTTTAGAAGGATCACCAGGCCAAATAGAATGTGTAGCACCATTTGTGGATACACAAGTATCGCTGAGAGGTTTGAATACAGATTCCCAACCGTCTTTGTGATATCTCCACCCTTTAGATTTTATTATCAATGTTCTTTCTGTACCATAAGCTACTAAAAAGCAGTACGTGATGTGATGAATCTGTAAAAAAATATGTTTATTTTATTTCATTATTTGACAGCATAATTAGCATAATTAGTGTAAATTTAATTTTCTTACCTGACAACCAAATCCACATCCTTTATTTAAGTTACATATTAACTTTTTCGCTTTATTACAGTCAACAGGATTTTGTAGATATCTTCAAAAAGTAAATAGAAAATATATATTACTTTATTTTGACATATTAAAAATTTCAATATTCTAATGATAGAATCTATTACCTAAATCTTCTCTGAACAAGATCAGACAAATCTTTTGCTTCCTTTTCCCGCCATTCGTTATAACCATCTACTTTCTCTAACTTCTCTATGTTCATTATGAGTGATTTCTTGTGTTCCCATACATTTTTCAGCACATTTTGTATCTCTTTTTCTCTCTGATCATATGTGAATTTATCAATGTACTTTTTAAATTTATTTAACTCAGCACTCATATAATACCTGCAATATAGAATTAAGTATGTAATCTATTGCGTCATGTGTTCATTATAATTTATTTTAGTTATAATTAACTATTATTATATTTACCATGTTTCCTGGATGTCATTTTTTAATCGCCGCCGCAGTTCTTCATATTCCAAGGAAGGAACACCATGTCTTGATCCATCTATTTGGTGATCTATTTGATCATAATAAACAGATGCTTTCTCCAATTTGTCATGTATGAAGCCCAAATGATCACTTTGTGTAGATTTTGATCCTTCTCTGGAAATTATGTTAGCCTGTACAATGAAAAGATCGCAATGCTCTATGTCTCAAATTTCACATTATAATATCACTAAGTTCTTCCTGTTTCATGTACTTTTATGCATAAACCTACCCTAATATGAAGTTCTTCAGCGCATCATTTTGTTTCTTTAAAATTTCAAAGTCATTAACCATTTGTGCTAGCCGTTGTGTATTCTCTTTATTGACAATACCAACATCTTGATTTGAGAAAGAACTAGATTTAAATATATGGATAACAGTTATAATTAATACTAAAAACCAGATGGCTAGCAATGCTATTCCAAACTTTCCTAACCAACCAGGTCGCCCAGACCAAATTGCTGCCATTTTAAACAAAGCAAATGGTATTTCTTCTTACAATATGTCACATTACGATATCTGAAAATACAATAAAATAATATATGATAAAAATTAAGGGAATACTATTCTTTTATATTTAAAAATTTGTATATATTTTCTAAATAATTTATTTTTATAAATTCTCAAATGCATGTTCTCACATGCAGATTAGTTATTAAATGTATGCATCTGTGTAACTGTCATCAGTATAATGATACAAAAATAATTTTTTACATTTCAGATATAAAAAAAGAATTTCGATTATTGTAATAAGTAGCACAGCCTTGTAGAGAGGAACAAAGCATCAGAATAAAGCAACATAAATTACTTCCGTTTGTAAATGCCCCACTGATCTATGTATGATAGTTCCAATCTCTGCATTTTCACCTAGTGTGTATATTCATATATATGTATATAGCAACCGGTGAAATAATAAATTACCTATTGTTCAGCCAACATAATGACGTATATCATGTGTTCTGCTACGTTTGCAATTGCAAACAAAAATGTCAAAATTACAAAAATCGAAATCAATAAATTCAATAGTCGATACTTTAAATAGACAAAAAAAAAGTTTAAACCGCGTTGTTTTGTTGCTTACTTTCGTAGAAACATAAGTATATAATTATCGTATGCTGACGTTATTTAAATCTAAGCCCGAGTGAAATTAACTTTCGGTTCCAATCTCCATTTCATATGGAAGTTTAGTTACATCTTGTACTCACTTGTCGGTAGAAATGTCGGCCACTTGCCGCGTGCTTCGCTGCCTTACGAAAGACGATATGACAGCTATCTATCATCTGTCCACTAATCTATCGCACTGTTACGAACACTCGACTCGGGATATTCCGTCCGTTGCACCATATATCTTTGAGCTGATTGCTCCCATCCCGACGAGAGTCAGTTTAGCATATGAATAATACGCATGAAAGCCAACAACCGAACAAACGCACGTTGCCAATGTCAATCGTTAATCCGTCAGTATCTTTGGCTATAACGTTGGTATTGTTAAAACGGAATACACATGCGCAAGATAAATAACATAATAAGCGCCCTCTAAACTTTTCTCTTGCTTTCTTTCTCTCTCTCCTTCTCTTAGGGTATATTCATACAAACTTGCACAGCGTATAAGCATATACATAAGAAATGGACCAATCCATATCCTTACGCATAAACTTACGCACTATGCAAGTTGTGTAAATATGTCCTTATTCTTTCTACTCAATTTTTCTGTTTTTTCTCTTTTTAAATTATTATTGCATTTAAAATAAACCTAATTTAATAAATATTATAAAGAGAAAAATTCTTTGTTTAAACAAATCGTAAGTATAAGAAATAATTCAATTTTTCATGTTCAATAAATTGAATAATTGTAATACAAGATGTTTCACGTTTATGACAAAAGAATAAATAAAAATGATTTAGTTATAATTTAGAAATTACGTAATCTTCTTCCAATGCAAATTAATAAGATTAGTTGATAAGTAACTAAACGGTGATGTAACTAAATGAGTGTTGCAACGCGTGAAGCTGCACATAAGTGATTCTTGAAGATGGTAGCACATGTGAGACAACTTGAAGTTACATTCGTCATGAAAATTGAATTGTGCATGAAAATTGAATTTCCATTCGTTATGAAGTAGCCATGAGCTTGCGTTTTGTACAGTTTAATTCATCGAGTGCAATGTATTACGCCGATATAGAGAAGAAAGATGCCCTGCATTAATAAAAACTACAAAGTAAGTTGAAATAGACCAAGAAAGGGAGTATAAATCGGTATGAAACATGAACGAGCATGCTAATACGAGATACTGTACGTGACAAAATGAGATAGCATGACGCATAGCTGCTATCTCCCTCTCCCCCTTCTTCGTCGTTGTCGCCGGCCATGAAAATCGCGCACGCAGCATCCTTGCGCGCGAAACACGCGCACGCCGGTAGATGCACATTGTGTGTCTGTGGTTCGCGTGGCTGTACATACCTTGTGAATAGTGTATTTTAAGCCTTAGTTTTAACGAAATAACCGATTGAAGAAGAAGGCGGGAGAGCTATACATCGCGAAACGAAGAATAACGGAGAATATCGTGTGAGCGACGCAGAGGTAGGAGGAAGAGAGAGAGAGAAAGAGAAAGATGATTGATTACGGAACGTCAGAGACGGTCTTCGTCGTTGAAAAAAAGCATACACTGTCCATTTGAGGACAGGATAAACGTTCCCTAGGATCTTGCTACATGAATTACAAATCTAGTCGAACTTTGGAAGCCAAGTTTTCACGAGTTTTACGAATTAATATCTGCCCCCCCCTCCCTCCTCCGTCTTCTATCTCATTTATTTGGTCGCTGTGTCTTTCCCTGTCTCGTAATCTGTCCCTTTCTCTCACTCCCTCTTGCCGCAGACGAGTAGACCAGTATCGTTTTTCGTTTGTTTCATCTGTCTTTCCTTCCTCGGTCCTGAACATATCTGCCGTGGTGTTATTGGTTGGTTACTCGATCGGTCAGTTTGTTCATCGAGCCCGTGCCGTCATCTTGGCCAAGATCTCGTTCGAGCGAGTGATCCCGCGGTCATCGTGCGCGTCTGCCATTCACGACGGTTTCCTTTGTGTTCTTTCTCTATCTTTCTCTCTCTTTTTCTCTCTCTCTCTCTCTCTCTCTCTCTCTCTCTCCGTGTCCGGCACGCCAAGCACATAGTGTTGTCAAAAATCCGGCAGTAGCGCGCCGGAGCTGCACACAGCTGCCATTATTGTAACTATCTGGTTTTCGCTCGTAGCACCGTAAATACGCTCCAGTCCTTCCGGATTGATATCTGCGTGCAGTTTGCCATCGTCGTCGTTGTCATCGCTGTAGTTGCCCCGTTACTGTTATCGCCACCCTCATCGTCACCGTTACCGTCACCGTCATCGTCACAGTCACAGTCACAGTTATTGTGGTCATCGTTGCCATCGCTGTCGCCGTTGCTCTCCCCTTCGCCGTCACTGTCGTCGCTGCCGTCGTTATCGCCGCTATTGTCGTCACCGCCGTCTCCGTCTCCGTCGTCGTCGTGGAAACAGTTGGTGAGAATGTGCTGTCGTTGAGGATAGCGTGCGTACGGAACATGTTTGTGCAACGACCATAGCAAGCGGCATCATCTTCGGCATCCCGCTAGACGCCGCCGGCTCTCTCTATACGGGAGCTAACCTTTTTAAGGGCTAAGGGTGCTTTCAGCACGTTTAGCTGGAACGTATTTGCCGTGCCCGGAGACAGCGGCACGGCTTGACAGCACGAGGACATGAAGTGGCTCGGCGCGAGCAGCGGAGGCGCCGGGGGCGAACCGGCATCCTCCATGCAGCTGCATCACACCTCCGCCAACGGTCACATATCCACGGTATATATATTTGCCTTTTCCATTTGCAATTGCTCCTTATTGAGCAATACACACGTATAACAGTTGTAAATCGAACGTGACTACAATAATTGCGACGTGCGAGATCGGCCGCCATAACCTCGACGAACGGTCGTGTACAGAGAGAATATGACCGTTTGCAAATGTCAGCATAAGTCAGCATAAGTGTTAATGTGTTTATAAAGATAGTAAATCGTGGGTTTTGTGGGTTCATGCATAGAGAACATAAAATGGTCTAAGTATATATAACATTTTTTCTGAATATGAGAAGCTATATTATAAAAACAATATTTGTTTCAGTATCAAGTTATTAATTGCATTTAAATTTTATAAGACTAAAGAATTTTGATGGAATAAATTTTAAAGCTGCAAATGTGAAAATAATAAAAATATTAATGATTTTTATTTTTATTTTTTTATATGAAAAAAAAGTTTATATATAAAAATAATGTACGCACAATCTAATATTGCTCAAGAAAGAGTTATCAATAGTTATTTTAATCAGTTATATGCGTGCTATAATATTACTAATTATTGATTTATTATTGTTATTAGGATACAGAACAGTGTGGACAAATTATGGCTGGCGGAGATAATATGCGAATTCAAGCTGGTCAAGCGCATCAGATAGGAGTGACTAGAACTCAAGATGATGCCATGGTTAGTTATGTGTTTCAACGACCTACAGAACCAGAATTTAACACTCAATCTTCAACATTTCAAACAAAACAAGCTCCAAGAGCTTGGGCTTTAGCAGATGACGTTATCGTCGATAATGTACGTATGACATTATATAGAATTGATTAAATAATTTATTGCAATGATTTTTTTTTATTAAGTGCAAAACCTGAATGAATGCATGCTTTTACTTTATTTTATAAGCGCAGAAGGTATAAGAAACTACATATTTATTAAATTCACATGTGCAGTTTATTATTTATTGTTGTGTTTTTTCTTTTTTGTGTGTAAAAAACTTAATTTTTATTAACAATAAAATTATTTGTGCGATAACGCAGTTAATTACATAATTAAAATAATTTATTTCAGAATCAAGAAAAGTGGAAATATTCCATGACAAAGCTTGGTGTGCCACAACAAAGTCAATCTCAACAACTTGGATTAACTATGAATAATGTACATCTAAGTAATGTTCCATATGAGATACATCCCATGCAATTAAAAGTAAGTAATAAGTGTCAACATTTTGATTTTAATATTTTATAAAATTATTTATATATACTAAATTATAGAATTATATAATTTTCTACACATTTTTTGATAAAAATGTTTTATGTTACAGAGTGGAGCACCTGGTGCAGAACATTTGGTTTATCTCAACAATCAGATGACTGCTCAACAACAAGTTGCGCTCTTTCATCACCAACAACAACAGCAACAGCAACAATTCAGAAATGGACAGGTAAGTCTCTCCATAATTGAAGTTATACCGAATACCATTCGCTCTTGCATATAGGACGCGTTAACGGATCCTACGTACTTATTAACATCACACCAATTAGCTTTTTGTTTTCTGAGAAATAATAGATAGATAATATATGTCTTACATATAAAGAATTAAAAAATACGAGAATTTTTGTCACCTCTAACAATTGTAATTTATATAATGGGGATAAATACGATTAACACTTTGCATTTAAAGCAAATTAAATATTCTGCTGCGTAAGCAGATTGTTAAATCTAAAAGATTTTAGAAAAATTGCCTTTGTCAATTTTTAAAACAAAGTGCAATTTGGGATGTGAAATGAGATACGAGTACGTGAAATGTGTATACATATATATATTATTTAAAATTCCCTGTTTCGGTAGTACCAAATTATTGTAGCATCTTCTGCTTTGCATATGAAAATTTTACTTTTAGTGCTGTTTGCCAAACTGATTTGCAATCTCTAATAATCTTTGTTGCACGTTTTGAGAAAGAGAATTTTCACTACAAATTGAAATGTATACATGAAAGAGAGAGGATTTGTCTATTTCATATTTCTCTGTTTCGTTCTATTCGAATATTTGGTTATATATGAAAGTTTAATTAACAACTTTCATTATTGAATCACAAAATAATTTGCATAAATATGGTTCAAATACGCAAATATGGCGGTACATAGTGTTATAATATTTTTAAAATAAAAAGTTAACTTTAAATTTAAAAAAAAGGAAACAAACAAAAAGGCAAACGACAATTTTCAACATTTTCTATGTTTACCAACTTTTGATGTAATTATGACTTTTTCAAAGAACCTTGTTATTAATACATTTAACAATTTATGGCTATAGATAATAATATTGAATATTTAACTACGAATAAACATTGTTAATTTATTTTATCTCATCTCTATCATATTCTCATTAAACATGAATGATGTGAATATGTTGAGATCAATCAAAATAATGGATGACTACCGCGTATAACTATTATACCGCAATGTTTTCCAAATCAATTATAAAGTAATAAAAGTGAGCAATTATGAAACTATTAAAAATATTAACATTTAATAATTATGTTAAAATCATTAAAAGTATACTATTATTAATTCTGTTGTTTTAAAACGTTACATTTGCTTTGATATTGCAATTATCCTTATATTGTTTTACAGAATCCATCATCATTAAGATAATTATTTTTCGAATACAATAATAATATCAAATCTCATCAATAATAAGAATCTAGATTCTTGATCTTACAATTAGTATACTTAACTTCTTCGCAATAACACATATTGCTGACTCGACCTATGAAAATAAATTCTTTGTTGGTTTTGACACCTACTTGTACATATTTTCACATATTTGTTGTGTTAACATTACGTTTTTCTTTGTTTATAAAGTATAAATCTGCAATAACAGCATAAATACATAAAACTGATATATCAGCACAATTTTTTGGGGGGAAACACGACTTTATCCCAATAACGCAATTTAATATAATTTAAATTAATTATTATTCTTTCTTTTTTGCATCTCTAATCTGCAATTATATACTTGATTTATTTCAAATATTGAAAATGCAAGAATGTATGGAGCCTTTTATTTCTATTGTTTTTCTTTATTATTTTTTCTTGATATAGCTTATAAAACATATAATATGTAAGAAAATTAATTTTTTATATTTTTATATTTTACTTTAGACTCATTTTAAATAATTTTTAAAATTTTATATTTAATTGTTCTTCGCTATTGTTGGCTATATGTAAGATATTTAAGTAATGTTTTCATATTTAATTAGACAATAATAGGCAACTTTTTTGTGTCCGTATAATTTATATTTTTTACACAAATACACAATTTTATTAGTTTCGCAATTCAATAAGAGAAACTACCGCGGATTCGTACGAATTTAAACAGCACTGCGACGGCGTGTCCCGTCCGCGGCGTTTCGCCGAAAGATTAGCAAAGTGACCGTCAGGGGCGCCCTGTTCGAGAGCGTCGTTCTTTGTTTCGGTTTGGAGCGCAGTCTCCGTCTGACGAAGCGCAGAGCCCGGTGAGGAAAATTCGAGGTGCGCGGTAACGAGAGAGGAGAGAGAGAGACAGGACGACGGGAACGGACAAACTGAGACGCTTATTAAGAGCTCTCGCCGGGTGACGACGCGTCTCGCGCGGTATGTTCGGACGGACGTGGGAGCAGCTTTGCCGCGAGAACAATCGAATCGGTTCGACTCGCTCCCTCTGTAAATAAGCGCGCGGCTATATTTATGAGTAAGTGAGTGTGTGCAAAGTGTGTGGCGAAAAGAGAAAGGAGAAGGAGGTGGAGGAGGAGCAGTAAGAAGAAAAGAGTGTAGAGGCGTCGAGAAGGAGGTATCGGAAGTGTCGAAGCAACGAGGGCGCATTTGACAGCAGGCGAATGCTCTTTCTCTCGCCTTCCTCGCGCCTGTCTCCTTCTTTCGCTGTTTCTCTCTCTCTTCATCTACGCTCGCCAGTGCTCGCTAGTTGTACCGAGTGTATGTGCTTGTGGTGGTCACACTGTAGCTCTCTCCGGTGTGTCGCGTTCGCGCGGCGATTTGCATTGTTTGGCCGGCGGCGGCACAACATTGTTCGCGCGCGACTCTTGGTTTACAAGAGAGAAAGAAGGAGAGAGTGAGGTGGGATCATATTCACGCTGGTTATTGTGCACGAGCAAGCGCGAGGAAGATCGAAGAGACGAGACAAAACCGCGAGACGACGACGCTCGAGGGTGGAGTAAAAGTATTGCCAACGTTTTTGTATACGTGCAATTTCATTCGTCCGTGTGCTCGCCGTCGTCGTCGGCGTCGTTATCGCCGTTGTTGTCGTCGTCGTCGCCGTCGTCGATTGCTGCCGCCGCCGCCGCCGCCGCCTTCGGTGTTGAGCGCGCCGCGACGGGGGTTGCCGACATCGCCACCGACGTATCCGCATCGATTGCCGGCCACCGATCTGCCGGGTATAACTGTAGTGTGCGTGTAGTGAGAAAGAAGAGGAGAAGAAAAAAGTGTCGCCGCGTGTCGACGTTTTTGAGTTTTTCGCATTACGTGTTGTTTTCGGCGTACTATCACGGGGTTAACGGTGAATTTCTCGAACGTGACGCACCGCACCGACGACGACGCCGCCGCCACCGCCGCCGCTGCCGCCGCCGTCGCCACTGCCACCGCTGCGACCTTGGAGACAGTGGAGAGTTTCGGAATCGGGTACGGCCAGGGAGCGGGCGCGAGTACAGGCGACTGGATGAAACCGCCGGGGGATTTATTTCTTTACTGCGACATGAAGGATCTGACGGGAGCCGTGGGAGATATGGTATTATTATTGTTTATTTGTTTGTTTGCGTACCGCAAACCATCGATGTACTTGCGATTCGATCGCGGCTTTAAAACCGCGCCCGCTTCGCGATGCGCCAGGCTGTTCCGCGCCGTGGCGTCGTGTCGTCTATCCTAGACTAGCCCTAGCTTAACTTAGCCTCGCGCGTCACTCCTTTCATCGTCTCTGATTAGTATAGGTTATGTTCGTGATCAGTGAACGTGACGTACGGTAAACGCGCTTCGGCGTGTTTTCTGTGCATGTCCGTTCCATATATCCACATCTTCTGCACTTGCAATTTTTCTCTTTCGTTATTGTTTTCTTCAACTATTCAATACATACACTTATTTTATTTTGGAAAAGTGTAGTGTGGTATTATAAGCACATGCGTGCATCGTAACATTTACATTAAACTTTCATTGTTTTATTAACGAAAAATTAGTTTTATTCAATTAATAAAAATGTAATTACAGTCCTTATTTTTTTGGGTTGTACTTTTATATTTTTTTATATCTAAAATAAATCAAGTGTATAATTGTTTAAACATCGAATGGATAAAAAGAAAGAGGAATTTATAGGTTAGCATAGAACATGTAGCTAGAAAAACAGTTAGTAATCTTGAATGAATTATGTAAATAAAATTTGTTAGCTGAAGGAGCATTATGAGTGCTCTATGGAATTTTTCCACTTGAGCAATTGTATTTGCTTTATATATAAAGTTGATTTTGTGCCTTTCTTACATGGCAGCATATGACTCATCATTTGTAGCATCATGGTCACTTTATCTATCTTCTAGAAAAATCTGGAAAAATAGAAGCTACTGAAATATCCACTGGTACCAGAAGTTTGAACACAGAAATGAGATTTATAAAAAATGAGTTTAGAATAACAAATTAAAATATAAGTTACATATTATATATGAACTCGATTTATCGATATTTTATTATTTTTATCAGTAATAATAAATATTGATAATTGCTATTTAGCATCACTTATCAACCTGTTATTACAGTAAAATATGCAGAAAAAGCAAAATCTATATTTTGCATTAAATACAAGATTATATAAATAATTATATATAGAATATTTATGTTAAAAATATTTGATTAATTTATTAATTTTTATCAATTTTTTTTGTAATAAAATATTTGTTTTTTTTTTTTAATCAACTTTATCTGATATTCAGATTAAAGTAAAGTTTTATTTCAAAAGTAACAAGTTCGAGGAATTGAAGCACACGTGTTTTGATGATTTCCCAAATAACATTATTTTTCAAAGTGTTTCGTTTTTTCTTCTGCTTTTTACATATAAACAATAATTAATTTAGTGTAACGTTTATAGCACAAATATGTTTTGTTTTCTTTTAACATTTTATTTGTAATGGAGTTCATAATTAATTTAATTCATGAATAATTACAAGACAAACATGCCTTAAGGTGAAAATTTGTATTTATATGTTCTGAAATTCGTGCAATTCAGTTTGTTTTTCAAGCTACTTCGAGACATGAGTCTAATTTGGTTATTAATCCGGATATTTACAGTATTATTTATTGTGACTTTTACGTGTGTGTTAGAAATGAAAGTTAAGCCGACTAAGGATAATATCTATTTAGTGATTCATCATAAAGATAACACTGAAATATTTTACATTTCTAAGTCTGAAATATTTATTTTTTTCGAAAACATAAAAGAATACATATACAGAAGATAATTACATATTTTTAAAAAATAAATATGATAAACATAATTTCTTTTTTATTAAATTTGTTTTTCTTTAAAGTTATCAAGATCGTTAATGTTTCTTTTGATTAAAAGAAAGGAATTCACATTTCTCTTCGACATGTTACAGTTGATTATATATTATCATTATCTATAATTACTATCTACTATCTATAATAATTATTATTATCCATTATCAGTCATTTTATTTAAAAAAGCAGCTATTATTGAACACGTTATAAATCGAGCAATTGAATTTTGATTCATTATAGTTAAAAAGAAGGGGAAAAATAGATGCGTATAATCAAGTGCAAAGTAATAAGCAATGAAAAGAATGCCGAAATAGATGATACTTGTGTTCTATTGCTGACTTTCTTTCTGACGTAGTTGGTTGTTACAACGTCAAACGGCTATTACTGACACTCATACGTAATTCTTACGTAGTCAGCTGTTACGTCGAGCGCGAAAGGAAACTTACGTATTTGATAAATGTTACACAAGATCAGTATTATTTTCCGATTACTCCGATTGTTTCATAATCGTTTCCGCCTGGTCTTATCTGGAACAGCAGACTGGAAGGAATCTGAGTCATTAGTCTTGTCGCGTATATACATCAGGCGGGCAATTGCGATTGTAAACTATGAAATGTAAAACAATGTCAATATCAAGGAACATGATAACGAAGTTTTTCTGCATTAATCTTATCGTGTTAATATCTATGGCGTTTTTAAATGCTTCGAACATTAATTTTATCGTGAAAAAAATGTGACACAGTAAAATTCACGGAGCAACTTTGAATAGAGAAGCACTAAGAGTTTTATAAGCGATTAATGACAACCGTATTTCTTTATCAGATTAAGAATTAATTACGAAGATGTTTAATATGGAAAAGCGAAGTTGAATGAAGATGTATCAAAATGTATCTCATATTAGATTTAAGTGCTAAAAGAAAAGCGTTTCTCAATATAGATACAATATTAGTGAGTTTAATTTTTTATTCAGAAATTATATTGTGTTTTTTGCAAAAAAGATGAATATTATTTTTGCACGTTTTAACATGAAACTCATCGAAATTCAATCTTTAATTCCAAATACACACGAAAATCTGTGGGGTATTTGTACAATTATGCGAAAAGGTTCATTTATCATGGGGTAGACGCATGTCATTGAACTTTATGCGTAATATAATATCGGTAATCGATAGTTGGTTGTGTCGAGTTGGAGTCTCGAAGTTTGGCGGTGAGAGAGACGAGTTGCGTGCTCATTATCGGCACGAATTCAATGCACATGGGACTTTCCACTGACCGGTGCATGTAGAATGGATTCACTGTTCCTTATCTGCGCATATATACTGCATCGAGTATGCTCCTTTCCACATATTATCAAGTATAGCGATCAGATTACGCGTTGAAACTTATTTATTTTTATCATGAAAATTGATTTTTGGAGCATCAACTTTTAGTATTATTTTTGCACAGCTTTGATAGCACATATTACAATTTTTCCGTATTTTAACACGATCAAACTTGATTAAGTTAAACGCGAAGCTTAATCGGAAAGCTAATTATTAATTACCAATTGTAGAACTTGTTATTAAAGATGTTTTGAAAATAAAGAAAATTGTTTCTTTTGGTGTATAGGGCTGGCTTAGAAGAGAGATCGTCGTAAAAGAAAATATGTTAGTTTTCAGGAGTGCATATTTTCAAAAGCAACTGATAATAATTACAACACATTGACCTTTGTACAAATAACTGTGCACGGATGAATGTATCGATATACATAATCCATAGCGCGATAGAGTACGTACACACGACGACGGTGCCGTCACCGTGCGTATTGACCCATAGAGCGCGGGACTCGTCTTCTCTCTCGTCGTGCGACTGATTCCCTGCGAGTAGACTGGAGGACAGTGGCCGTGACCCGCGGCCGTGGGCCCCGGGGAGAGGGGTCGGTGGCCCCGTGGCAGTTTAACGACGTCCACGCCGCGCCGCACCGTCGAGGAGAACGTGGGAGTGCGATGAAGACCTGATGGGGGATCGGGGGGGACGAGAGTGAGCACGACGAGCTGAGGTGGGATGAACCGGTGCAACTCATCTGCTGGCTGGATAGCTGGACAGAGAAAAGATCGAGCGGCAAACTAGCGTGCGGATAATCTAACATTCTTTTGCACTCGCCCACCTAGGCTCGCATTCGTGCTCACCGTTCACCATGAAAGTCGAGTTTAGAGTCCATGTTCCGTTGTGCGTCGAAGCAAAACCTTTGGGGGAACTTGGCTGAAAACTTGGTCAAAAATTGCGAAATTAATATTTTTTTATTTCCACATAAGTAACAATTTGCTCCTTCATATATCGAGTCTTTTTTTTTTCGAGTCTTCGTTCGTTGAGGCAAATTTATCCAAATGTCTACAGAAAGCGTAGAAACATTCATAAAATACAATAATCACGGATATGTATCGCTGATGATACGCACCTAAATTTTACAACAGCTTATTTATTATTATTATTATTATTATTATTATTATTTATTATTATGTATGAAATTTGATATACATTTTAACAATTTCCTGTTGAAATCCGAAATCATAAATTTTTGCGTGTTATCAGCTATCAATCCAGGATAACTTGATGCTCTAAATATTAAAACAACTAATTTTTTTCTGTTTTAAAAAAATCAAAAGTCAGCAGATCATTAACCGATGGAAAATTGGAAAAATAGACCGAGTCCAAAATTCCAGTCTATAATCTCAGTTTTCTTCTCCGAATTCTCCTAACAGTATGCAACAAAAAATGAACAGTTACTATTGAAAGCTGACGGTTACGATCGGCTTTTTGCAAAAGTTCCACTTTCCGGCATAGAAGTGGTCAAGATCGATATCAGTTGCGACGCGACTCACATAACCGACTTGAAGCGACAGATAAATGCTAAAGCGCGTGCGCTCTCTTTCTCTCTTTCTCTTATTGCTTACATCTGAGACGTCACGCGTATTTGTAATAACGCTATCTTTTCCTCCTCTATGCGAATCGATCTCGTGGCTCTTCTCCATTTAACATACGGATTGTTCTAGTGAGATTACTTCCAATAGAACGACTGTTCCCTCGGCCGTTCGTTGCACAACACAAGAGCAACGTGACACACGAGGGGTCGACGTTGGCCGGGCATGGCTTTCTCACTCGTATGTGCCTTTTCCTTTACTGCTTCTTCCCCTCTTTCTCATCTTTTCTCTTCCGGGGCAAAAACCAGTTTGGTTCGGAGAAAGAAAATATTACCGTTTTATTCGTTCAACAGATGAAATAGACAATAAAGAGAAGAAGAGAGAAGAGATAATATTCTTTGTCTTTTTGTTGAAAGCCCGCTTTAACGCTCGTTTAAAATGATTCTGCTCTCGTATCAAGATACACGATTTTGATATCTGCACTTTAAGGTAAAATAAATTATGTTAATCTTTTTGTTTGGATGTTCCCGTTAAATTTTCGTGAGAACTTGTTTCATCGCGTTAGACTTTCCGAATCTTGTTCTCTCTGTAGAGAAAACTTGTATTTTTTCCAAACTTATATTTTATCTTAGAAGTAAGTAAAAATTTTTTAATTATCTTAGTAAATTTTTTATGGAAAGATACCAGGTATTTTAAGGATCAAAATTATATCTGTGAGACTAGAAAACTAAAATTAGAGGTTGTAATATTTTTCTGGATACATTGCTGTGCAGCGAACTTAACATAATTAAGCTCGTAGACTTTTTATAATCTTATAATCTGTAGCATATAATTGAAATTTATGACGGATATAAAATAGAATTTTTCTACCTGCTGGTTTGATTTTTATTAGCCATTTATTTTTTTTCTACTTTTGATAGTTTTTGCAGTTTTTTAATTTTCTTTATAAATGTGTTTAAGTGCGATGCTTATAAGCAATTTTCTTTTATTTTATTTTTGTTATTTCTCTCTCTTTTCGCTCGCTTACTCAGATGCGCGTGTTCTCTTTTCATTAACCTTTTTCTTTTCGGGCTTCCCTTTCTCTATTCGGTTACGTTTAACGTACAAAAGCGTCTCCGACAGCCGGTAACGCGGTCGATACTCACGGCATGTCGCCCTCGGCTGACCGAGCTTCACCCTTACTTTTACCCTTACTTTTACCCTTACTTTTACCTTACCGAACCTTTAGACAGATCCATCACCTCGTTCTGCATCACTTTGTTATCCCCTTCTTCCCATCTGCATGCGAAGCAGCGATACAGTAATCGTCGACGTATCCAGCTGATGCTCCTCAATTGTTGCTATACAATTGAAAAGGCCAAGAAAACTCGAGATATTTTTTTGGGAAATATCAGAGAAATCTGAGAGAAGTGTAAATCACTAGAATTCATTGATTTTTCTTGATTTTGGAATTAGTAGTGGAAAATCGATTCCTAAACGGAACGAAGAATTTCTAAAAGATAAATAGTTAGTAATTTTAGGGCGATATTTCAGTCTTGTTTTAAGTAAAAAAAAATTTTTTTTGAGCGCACTTTCTAGAGTAGCGAATAACGAAATTTTCTGTATCTTTAGCAAGTGGAATAAAGTAATGTTTGGTTTGGTTGGCATACTATTTACTTGTTAATAATTAAAATTTTCAAGAATTGGAACGGATCAGATTGATAATAACCAGTGTTTTGCAATAGCCGCTGAGTTTAGACCAATAATTTTGATCTAGGTCAAATTATTTGACAAATAAATGTTAGGCAAATACTTGTGGATGTTTGATTATTTTGTTTTTAAATTTGGTGCAATACAACTTTTCTAGGACAAAATCATTTTTGAACTTTTGATCGTAAAAAACTTGACTTATGTGCTTTTTAGATATGCATCGAGATTAATTGCAATTATTTCTCATTTTGTGAGTTCCGATAAAACTTGCAATTGGTTCCGAGAGAAATGAAAAATTTATTTCCGAATTATGAAAAGTTGAAATTGAAATAACTTTTCGATTTTGGTTGCGTGTCGCAATCAAGGTGATGTATCGTGACTTTGAACTCGCTGTGTCACATTATGCGTTCGGTGCACCCGCATCTAGAATACTGCGATCTGTAGGCGTCCCTCTTTCTCTCCATCTCTTCATAGAGGTTACGTCACTAACTTCCAGTTAGGTGAGGTCGGGATCAGTGCTGCGTGCGAAGTCCGGGTCACGATTCGTCTTTATTTGCTTTGAATTCAAATATTTTCGCCGTAATTGCGATTTAGTTAAACACTTCAGAAACTGAGTCCATCATTAATCATCATGCTCAAATAAGCCTGATTGTTTTATGATAATTTTTAAAAAGTAATTTTTGTATATTGATAAGAATAATAAAACTCTGATTTTTTAAATAAAAACTTTCAGATAATTTTTACTGAAATATGATGTTATGCATGTAATGCTGCAATTTTCCAAACAATTTTCGACAGTGATAAAAACAAGTTGCCAATGTGTACTACAATATGTACTCTTTTTTTTAATTTCAAGGCATCTATTTTTGTTCAGCATATGAGACACACACACACACACACGCACGCACGCACGCGCGCGCGTATAGGTAGATTACATTATATTACATTATATTACACAATATATATTATTAAGAAGAAATCATTCTCTTATAAAAATCATTTAATTTTGATAAATTTTTTCAAATATGATTATTTTGACTTATGATGCGCAATCAATGATTCTTCAATACATCAATTAAGCAAATAATCGATTTATTTTAGAATCTGTTCTTGAAATCGATTTAAACCAAATATATTTTTAAGAACAGTAATGGATACAATGGGTCAGTGGGATGTGATGTTAATTATACCACTGCTCATCAAAGAAATATAATTTTGTTGATTTGTTGTTTGAACGAACGAACGTGATATATCGCTAAGAATTGTTAATCATGTCGTAAATGTTTAATTTACTAATGCAAGTGGCGAATGGTCATTTCCTGGTGTCTGCACGAAGGGGGAGTTTCGTGTCAACACTTTGCGCGCTTCAAAATAGTGTTCATTGACCTCCTGGATTTATGATCTATTTTTTTATTTTGTTTTAGATCGCTCCCTCGGCAAAAAAGCTTTGGGGCGTGGACGAGGGTGGCTCCAAGGACGAAGGAGGCGTAAAAGGCGGTGGGACCTTGCTTCACTTGGGCGACCACCCGGCTACTATGTGGCGAGATACCACCTGGAGTACGTCAGGTACGTATTCGTGCGATCACGCGCGATTATGTTGACCCCTGTCGAGCTGCCCCCCCCCCCCACCTTGTACAAATAAAAAAACCAATAGCGCAAAATTATAAGCTATTTGTGAGCTTTCATATTCCGCAAATTAAAATTTTTGATGTCACGCTGAGCATGAATTTAATGTTTTTCGTGGGGGGAGAGGGGGGAGGCCTGAGTCGATATCGACTCAGCCCCCCCACCGCTTAAAAATAACAATATTGGATCAATCTTTGCGGTAGAATTAAGAGTTATTTATGAGCTTTTGAACTGATATAGTTTCGATTTTTAAGCTCACCCCCTTAGTCTTCAAACAATCCTTAATTGATGGAACTCAAGAGAGAAGTACTAAGAAAAAAATAACATTATATTTCAAACGTAGTATAAAATTCCAAGAATAAACCTTTAAAATATGCGCATTTTGATTATTGAGTTGCAACCACTTTACAAAAAAACCATCTCTTATCTTCCTAACACAAGAGAGAACTATACTTAAAATGAAAAAAATTAATTATTTTTCAACTAAATATCATTTATCCATTTATATGCTCACAAAATATGTGCATTTCCATTACTGAATTGCAAGCCCTTTATAAAGGAATCATCCCGCATCTCCCGGCACAAGAGAGAACTTAAAATTAAAGAAATTAACTATTTCATGACCAAATATCGTTTATC